TGTAGCAACGTGGATGGAACTGGAGAGTGTGATGCTAAGTGAAATAAGCCATACAGAGAAAGACAGATACCATATGGTTTCACTCTTATGTGGATCCTGAAAAACTTAACAGGAACCCATGGGGGAGGGGAAGGAAAAAAAAAAAAAAGAGGTTAGAGTGGGAGAGAGCCAAAGCATAAGAGACTGTTGAGAACTGAGAACAAACTAAGGGTTGATGGGGGGTGGGAGGGAGGAGAGGGTGGGTGATGGGTATTGAGGAGGGCACCTTTGGGATGAGCACTGGGTGTTGTATGGAAACCAATTTGACAATAAATTTCATATATATTAAAAAAAAAAAAAAAAAAAAAAAAGAAAATGGCTGTTAAGTGCCCCGGTTCTCCCCACTCACAGCGTGCAGGTCCAGTATGGCATGGCTGCCTGCATCACTGGGGGCGGGGATAGAGGGTCAGTTTCATCTGGTGTTCCAGCCAAGGCTTGTGCTTATGTTGGAAGTGTGGGGAGCCAAGGACTATGAAATTTGACTTTTTACATCTTTTTTTGACCCAACAACCTTGTAGCGCTCAAGAGATTGGTTTTGGAATATGAAGCAGTGAGGAAATGATGCTCTTTTTGTTTTGTTTTTGTTTGTTTAAAAGTAAAACCCTAAGCGTGGCAGCTGATTATTTCATCCTGGGATCCATAAAAAATATTTTCATCTGTGTAGACATCACTCTGTCCTGTGTTTGAAGCCACAGGGTCTCTGCTTAGGTTTCCTAGACCAGGGATTGACACCATTTTCCTATAAAGTACCAGATAGTAAATATTTTAGGCTTTGTGGGCCATAGAGTCTCAACTCTGCTGTTACAGTGTGAAAGCAGCCACAGACAATATGTAAACGAGTGAGTGTGGCTGTGCTCCAGTAAAATTTTATTTATGAAAGCAGGTGGCAGGCTGAATGTGGCCTGTGGGCTGTAGTCTGCCAGCCACTGCAGTAGGCCTGTGAGAGGCAACTGAGAACAGTAAGTAAGAGAACGAGCACTGGCATTGGGTTTGTGTGGACCCCAGCCCTGCTGCTTTGTGGCCCTGGACTTGGGCGAGTCATTTAATAAGGGGTAAGAGTGTCTGCCCATTGGGCTCTCAGGAGAGTCCAGGGTCACGTTGTCCATGAAGAGTGTGGTACAGAGCCTCGCACATGGTGAATACTGACTCCTGCTGCTGTTTCCTGTTGCCAGTCCCTTGACAGGAGGGCCTGTTGGGAATGATTTTAGGCACATTAAAGGCTAAAGCTAATTGGAAGTTGATTTGCTTACTTATTTTCTAAGCATAAAGTCTCTTTGAAAAAAACACGTGGCCTTCTCTAGCCGCAGAGAAGGTCACTGTTGTTGCCCAGTGCTGTGGCTTTCACAGCTGAGTAGGTAAACAGTGCAACTAAGTGGAACCAGTTAGACAAGTCAAGCCAAAAATAAAGATAAGGTTAATGTCGACTCCATTAGACTCAGCTTGCTTTTTGGCTTTTATGACGAAGACTAAGGTGGTTGATAGGGAAGGGCATGGTGAGTAAATCCCACCCACTCTAAGACCGGCAGTGCATTCTTCCGCTGAGCTTTGTCAGCTGGCCACCTGCTCTGTGCCTGGCATTGTGCTGGGCAGCAGGAGTTGCAGACTGAGCAGGGAGAGACATGTCTCACCTTGCAAGAGCTCACAGTCTAGTAAAGCAGAGTAGAAGAAAGTTGGATAACCACAACGCAAGGCAGAACGGAACTGTGGTTGCCCGCCACCTCATCGGCCAGACTTCTCCAGCTTTTTTTGGTCCCTGGCCTGGCTCTGTCATCCCTGCCCTGATTCCAGTCCCTTCTTACCCAGCCCTGCTCTCTGCTCCAGCCAGGACAGTTCCCACTGCCTTCTTACATGCTTATTCTAAACTCATGTGTCCATTCATTCATTAAAAAAATATTTGAGTGTGTATTATTTGCCTTTGAAAAGACAAGGTCCGTCTTCTCATGGATTTAAAGGCTATTTGGAGTAATATAGAGTGATCTGTCACAAACTGATGCTATCAGGGTGGGGATAAAACTCTCTCAGATTTAATTTTAAAAAATGAACCAGACAGGGAGGATTTCCATGGTATGTGTATTTATGTTTGTGCACATATAGGTTATATTTTACAGAAATGAGAGCAGACTGTATGCACATACTGTCCTTTTCTTTCTGTTCCATTTTCATTTAGCTTTCCTTCCATTCCCTTTCTGATCGATTCTTTGCCTATTTTGAGTATACCCACCCTGACTTAAGTATATATTTAGGAAATAGGTTCAAAGCATCATTAACATATTAATACACAGAAATATTGTCAGAGTTAGAGATATTAGATAATTTTTTTCTGTGAATTAGTTTCCATTTCAACTTTATGCCACATTGTAAATTTTGTTGTCATATTTTTCCTTTTCCCTTAGAATTTCTTTTCCTTTTCCCTCCGCTTTTTATTTTGAAGAATTTCAGACCTATATTAAAGTTTGAAAGTATGTACATTCATATACTCTTTACTTAGATTCACCAGTTAACTTTTTGCTTCATTTGTCTTTTCTCTCTACATATTTAATCTTTTATTCTGCTGAACCATTTGACAATAAATTGCAGACATTGTAGAATTTCCCCTCTGGTATTTGAGTATGCACCTCCTAAGAACAAGGAAATTGTCTTTTTTAGCCATAAAACCATTATCATACCAAAGAAATTCAACACTAATACAGTGATGTTAGCTAATACCTAGTCAGCATTCACATTTTCTAGCAGTCTCAAGACAGTCCTTTATAGATTGTTCCTTTTAAATCCATGATCCAATCAAGGATCATGCATTACATTTAGTTTTCAAGACTTTAAATCCACTTAATCTAGAACTATCTTCCTGTCTTTTTTTTGTCTTTCATAATATTAATGGTTTTGAAGAATCCAGGCCAGCTGTATTGCAAAATGTTCCAAACATGGAATTATCTGATCTGATTGTTTCCTTGCTATTAAGATTCAGGTTAAACATTTTAGGAAGAGACTACTCTAGGGGATGCTATATCTGCTGTATCCTTGCCATTAAATCACGATCAAGAATGTGATGTAAGTTCGTCCTGTTATTGTTGGTACTAACTTAGATCACTTATCTGTCAAATTTCCCCATTTGAGGCTACCCCTACCCCATGTAATGAGTAAGTAATCAGCGAGGTGATACTTTGAAAACTGTGTTGTGTTCCCCAACAGTTTTTTGCACAGTGATTCGAGCATCTACTGATGAGCTTTGCTCTATCAGTTATTAATTGGTGGTTGCAAAGTAATGTTTTTGTCATTCCTTCTACCTTTATTAGCTGGCATTTGTCTGTGAAGAAGAGCCCTTCCACATTTTTTTAAGTATCCTTATGGGATTCATGGATTCCTTTTTGTTCATTATGTTATGACCCATTACTGTCTTTATCTTTAAATTTTTTTTTTTATTTTACATTTATTTATTTTTGAGAGACAGAGAGAGACAGAGCATGAGCAGGGGAGGGGCAAAGAGAGAGGAGACACAGAATCCAAAGCAGGTCCCAGGCTCTGAATTGTCAATACAGAGCCCGACGTGGGGCTCGAACCCACAAACCGTGAGATCATGACCTGAACTAAAGTCAGACACTCAACCAACTGAGCCACCCAGGCGCCCTGTCTTTTTGTTTTAACTGAGAATATTTTAAATTGAGTTATGACTTACAGTGAAATTTATAGGTATTAAGTATACAGTTTAATTAGTTTTCACAAATGCATATGTACATGTAACTCTCACCCTATCGAGATACAGAACGTATCCATTACCCTCCCTGCCAAATTTCCTTTGGCACCTTCCCAGGGATTCTCCCATGCCACCTCAGCAAGAAGCATTAATCTGATTTCTTCATTATTCTCTTTGATGTTTATATTATCCCAAACATTGACAATGAAAGCCTCATCTGTTGGCTTTATGTCCATTTGACATGTCCATTGTAATCTTTGAGCACTTTCTTGGTTTCTGGCGTAAGAAGGTGTTTTGTTTTATTCTTTTTACCAGCTGAAAATATCCGATAGTATGTATACTAGTTAAATAATTTCTCCATCAGTGAGCTTTAGGTTGTTTCCTTTTTTATTTTATTACAGAAATGCCATGGCAAACATCCTGGAACACATATGCTTGCCCCACTTTTGTGGGTATTTTTGTAGGCTGGATCCCTAGAAGTGTTATTTCTAGGTCAAAGAGTGTGCACATTTAAGTCTTTGAGTGATATTGCCAAATTCTTCCTTCCCCTCTTAAAAAGCTGTGTTAATTAAGTTTCCAGAAATAGTGCCGGTTTCCCCGCAGCCTTATCAACATTGAATTTTATCTGTCTGTGTGTGTATGGTGGTGTAGGATTTGATTTTGGACTTATTTTTGAGGAAGGTGAACATCCAAATAGGAGAGCCTCCTTTTTGGTTCCAAGCCCAATTTTCATTTATATAAAAATGAAATCTCTCCTTAAGGGAGAGGTTAAACCAAGGAGAAATTTTTGACAGAAATTCTCTGTCATTCACTGTCATCCTCACCATTACAGCCAACTTTTGGCAAATGTATTCTTACTGTTTCTAGTCTGCATTAACTGAATATGGGAGATAAAGGAAGATAGGGTGTGAGGGGCATGATGGCATTGCCCCCAAGGCTTCTGGTTTTCTTAAGCAGTCTTTATAAAATTTGGTCCAGAGTTACTATGGATTTCTATCTTTAAATAGCCATTGGAACTGGATTTTTATTTTGCAACGAACCTTGATGATTCTGTATTTGGGGTAGCAGGTTTATTATAACATATATGTGTGTGATATCACTTTGGTGTCAGCTAGTAAAAAAAAATCTTTCCATTTTTGTTTTATTTTAAATAGTGAACCTTAGGTTAACCACTTTGTAGATGATTTGGACTTTTTTTTTTTTCAAGTTGAAGAAATTGTTTGAGAGCTGTTGTCTCTGCTACAGTTACTTGTGTTGATTATCTTCATAGGTATTTGAAGCAGTGATTTCATGGATCAATTATGAGAAGGAAACCCGTTTAGAGCACATGGCAAAACTGATGGAACATGTCCGTCTCCCTCTCTTACCTAGGGATTACCTGGTCCAGGTGAGTGCTGTGTGAAGCACCACATGCTTTCCTTCACTGGGCAACCCTGGATGTATGGGGTGGTTGGAGAGTTTATGGGTATTTTGTACAGGCTGAAGGCACCAACCCACTGGCTTAAGTGTGAGACATGGTAATGTAAAGGTTTTTTTTGTTTTTAATTTTTATTATTGAGGTATATAGTTGACATACTGTGTTATATTAGATGGTAGTGTGAGGTCTAAAAGCGTAAGTTTGAGAATAAGACGCTTAGGTTTTAGTTCTTGCTCTACTAGTTGTTAGCTTTGTGTTTTTATTTTACCTCTTCAAGTCATAGTTTCTTCTTTGCTGGAAGGGATATTATGGTAGAGTCCAGCAGGATTATTGTGAGGACCAAAGGAGTTGTAAATATGTAAGTCAGGTGTTTAGCATGGAGCTGGTCCTAAAAAATGTTCACTAGAAGTTAGTTGCTTTTATTGTAGAGGACCTAAGCAAGAAGGGTCATTTCCACAATGTTTCTGTATTCTCTTTGCCTTCATGTTAGGCAAGTTGGAGCCCAATTCAGGACTGTAAAAACCGACCTTTCACAGGTGCCTAGGATACGTGTTGCTTTGACTTCCTCTAAGATGAAAGAAAAATTAAGAATGATGGGGTGCCCCTATGGTGCCACATATTTTCTTATTTAATCCTTATAACAACCCTGTGAGGCAAAGATAGATAACCCTCTTTTTACAAGTTTGGGCCTTGAGGTTTATAGAGGTTTAGATTTATTGGGGAATAGGTGGCAGGGTCAGGATTCAAATCCAAGTCAGTCGGCCCCGAAGCACCTGCCTTCCACTATGCAGGCTGCCACCTTTAATACTCTCTGTTCTGTTTATCCATTGGCATTAGATACACTTATAAGTGGGCAAAGAGTAAAACTTAAATATATGAGCAAAACAAAACACCGAGGCAGTAGGCCAGCCCTCATCTCTTTCCAGAAGTTTCTGGAGGGAATGGAAGGTGTGAAGCAAGGATAAGAGAGGAGGCTCAGCATCCCAGCAGCCTAGCTCTGTGACTTCCCAGCCATCTAACACTAGGCAAGTACTCAACCTTTTTTTTCTTTAAGTTTAGTTATCTATTTTTTGAGAGAGCACAAGTAAGGGAGGGGCAGAAAGAAGGAGAGACAGAATCCAAAGCTGGCACTGCACCATCAGCCCAGAGCCCAGTGCTGCACTCGAACTTAGGAACTGTGAGATCATGACCTCAGTTGAGACCAAGAGTCAGATGCTTAACTTACTGAGCCAGCGCAGAGCCCCACGCAGGGCTCCAACTTACAAAACCATGAGTTCATGACCTGAGCTGAAACCAGGAGTCAGACGCTTACCCGACTTGAGCCACCCAGGTGTCCCAGTACTCAACCTTTCTAAACCTCAGTCTTCTCATCTGATAAAAATAGCACCTGTCCTTATAGGATTGTTTGGGGGTATAATGAGATAATCCATATAAAGGCTGCATCTCTATGTGAGCGAATGCTAGCTGGTACTACAGCTGTTTTGACGGTCATGGATGCTCTTGGGAATAGCGGGAGAAGTTTCTATCCTCAAAAGCCCTTGTAAAGTCCTCAGCTTGTGACCCTGTTGACCACAGGTCGAAGGGGTCAGTGAAATGTTCTGTGATTCTGAACCTCAGTCCTTCTCAGGTGCTGAGGCATATACTTGCCAGCCCTTATGTGTGCCCTGCATTTTATACTTTGGATGGTACTACTGCCCCCTGGTGGCAGCATATCCTTCTTGAAGAAAAGGTTCCCCTAAGCAGAGGGACTGAAGGGGCCTGAGATCCCAGTCTCAGAATCCAACCTCCTACTGTCCTGTGGGAAACTGACCAAAGGTAGACATGGACATCTGGCCTCCAGCACAGGCTCACTTCCACAAGAAGGGCTATCTGTGGACCTGGGTTCCAGGGAAAATTAAAGAGGCCTTTGAGACCCCTGGTCACAACCTCAATCAGGTGTCCACAACTCAAACTTAAAGATGTTAGAAAATAGTTCTTGGGTCATTATGGCAAAGTAGGGATTAGGTCTGGAGAGGAAGGGGGTCAGAGGCAATGGGCATGAGCACTGTTGTGTGAGAATCCCCCTGCTGCTTTTAAAGGACTGCCTTTAGAACACCTCTGGAAGAGGTTGTCTCAGTAAACCTCAGTTGACCTTGAAACTTTGAAATAGTATAACCCTCTGGGGTTGGCTGATCTTGGTGGGGGAGGACGCAGGAAAGTCTTGGGCAGACCTGCACCAACAGTGACTTCTGGGGAAGGTGGTTTTGTTTGTTTGTTTTTGATAGCTAACATTTATTAGTCTTCATTAAATACTTTGAAATATTGTAGAGTGTAATGTTATATGTTAAAACTTTTTAGTTGTGATTATATATATATGTGTGTGTGTGTGTGTGTGTGTGTGTATAAAACATAAACTTCATCATTTTGACCAGTTTTAAGTGTACACTTCAGTGTGTTAATTGTATTCACCATGCTGTACAACCATCACATACCCATCCTTAAAACTTTCATATCACCCCAAATTGAAACTCTGTATGGTGAAGCATTAAATCTCTGGGAGAACTTCTCATTCAAGCTGAATGCACCTTTGGGAGAAGTAGCTGTTTATGCATTTCACCTTCCATCTGAGATTTGTAAGAGATCTTCTCTCTTCCTTTTTAATTTTTTTAACCGACCCTAAAAGCTTATGACTTGTCCCAACTTGGGTCAGTCCCTTAGTGTGGGTGGGGGGGATTAGGGAAACCTTCCCCCAAAATGGAGTGTTCCTGGGGATCACTTCTGGGGAAGGAGGTGCCCATTGGTGAGAGAGGCCCTGTCATACCAGTCCTTCTTTTCCTGCCAGCTCCAATGCTACCCATTAGTTGATGGCCTGGCCACATTTCCATTGATAGCTACAGGTGAGACTCAGTCAGCCCTTGTGCATGACCAGCTTGAGGGCTGAGATAATTGAGATGGGGAGGCCATTCTCTTTCTTTGACTGGACTTGAGTGCCTCAGGGTCAGAACCCATTTCTTGTTCATCTTTTTCTTCCTGGAGTCCAGCACTGGGCTGTCCAACAATGAGACGTTCCATCATCGTTAGCTATTGAGTCGAATTGATCTCTCCTGATAGCACCTAAATACTCCAGCAAAGAAAACATGAAGTGGCCTCTGAAGACCATACTACCCCTTACAGATAAGCCACATAGCAATTGACCCAGGCCACAGGACAGAGATTTGAGAATTGAGCACTTGCATGGTTTCACCCTTGGTGTTGCTCACAAAATATTTAGGCTTATACTTGCTGAGCATCTGCTTTGGCACATCGCTTTGGAGTATGTGAAGAAGCCATAGTTCCAGCTTGGATAGGGGCCAAGATGAGGTCTGTAGGTGGGACTTTGGTGCAGGACATTCTTTGTCCTCTAATATCACCATTCTTTATAGAGCACCTCATTGGCCAGTTTTGTCCCTGCAGCTTTCACTGTAAGAAAATGAATAGGAGTTTTTCTTGACCGTCACTTTGTCATACTCCATGCTGCCAAACGTTGACCAATGGATTCTGCTCTCTTCCTTTTTCCCTCTCTCTCCTCTCAAATGTCTGACCATTTGCCCTAAACATTATAAAGCATTCATATTAGGAGGAATGTGGGATGAAGCCTTCAGCACAGCTAATTATCTTTGTTTTGCATAATTCCATTTAAGCCTGCAAACTAACATAACAAACACAACCACTGAGGTTGTATGTCTTTCTGTTTGATGCCAGAACTTAATAACTTCACCCCACTGTGTTCTTGAAATGCAGGAGGTGGGCACTAAGTTGTAAGTATGTGGTCTTTCTCTTGGGGTCTGAGATGATGTGATGGGTGAATAAAAGAGTGTGGGAATACAAGAATGACTAAGGAGACAGTGTGGGAAATACAGCTGAAGTCTGCTCTTGGATCACCTGTGGGTTATTACCTCCAGACGGTTGAAGAAGAAGCTTTGATAAAGAATAACAACACCTGTAAGGACTTCCTCATCGAGGCCATGAAATACCACCTGCTCCCTCTGGATCAGAGGCTCTTGATTAAGAACCCAAGGACCAAGCCCAGGACTCCAGTCAGCCTGCCCAAGGTAAGCCCCAGCCCAGTCAGTGCCAGCTGTCAGGGCTGTGTTCTGGGAAAGTGGCCTTCCATTGCTGGCTCCAAGTCTTTCCTCACCTGTGGCTGCCTTGCTTCTTGGTTGCATTTACCAGCTAAGAGATGGAGTCTGCTGGTTCATTTTGAATCTGCTGGTACCTCTCTCTTGCAGGGTCTTCCTGTCCTAAGAATTTCAAGGTAACCTCCAGAGGCACCAGAGAGTTTTGAGAATAACTCCTTCGTCTCCTCTCCTTATTTGCTCTGGGTTCTATTTGTGTTGGAAGCAGAGGAATGGCTTTGTGTTTCTTGACTTAGTGATTTCTAGGCCATTATTTGAATTTGAATGGTCCTAGTATGGCTCTTTTCTCTCACCGTAGAGCCCTACAGAACAGTTAGGGCTGCCAGACCGGGTATTGGCTGCTTTGGTTCCTTGCAAGGCCCTGCCTCTCTCTGGTCCTCAGGTCTTTCATCTACAGAATGAAAGGTCCTGCACTGGCTGGTGTCTAAAGTCCATTCCAGGTTGGCCTTCCAGTAGGCCGTCTAGGATCCTAAAACGCTGACGTCTCAGGAAAGGTCCCAGCCAACCCAGGAGGAAAGGTGAGCAGAGAGGAGTGAGTTGTGTTGACTCAGCTACCGCACAGCCGGCAGCCCCAGGGCATTGTGTAGGCCTTTGCTTTGTCCTCCTCCTCCTCCTCTTTCTGTCTGGCTGCCCTACTCCTTGTCTGCTGCTTCCAGGAAGGGTTTCAGAGTGCTGGAGAAGCATGTTGTCCAAGACCAGATGTTGAGATTCTCCAGGGTCTGTGCTTCCTCTCCACTCTGTGTTGTGACCCTGGGTGATGGAGAGTTTAGTGGGTGCAGTGTGGATGAAGGTTATAAATCTCCCAAATAATAATACGAGTCACTGGCATTTGCTGAGTGCTGCTTCAGGGGCAAACAGTAAGCTGAAAGGTATCACAGTAGAGCTTTCTTAATCCCCTCAATAGCCCTGTACGGTAGAGGCAGGTATCCTAGCTGTACACAGAGGAAACGGAAGGTCAGAGAGATTAAGTGACTTGCCCAAGGTCAACACAGCCAGTGTAGTAGAGCCAGTGTTTGAATGGTGTCTTTCTCACCCTCCAAACCTGTTCTGTGAACCCACACCATCCTGCAGCTGGCTTCATCTTTGTAAACCTGAGTGTATGTACCTACTTGTCAGCTTCCTATCGCCCGGCGCATGTTAGAAGGTGCAGCCACCAGGCAAGGGCCTTGGTCTGGCTGGCCATTTGTCTTCCTGCGTGTTGATGCTTTGGTTTTATTTTATTGAAATATTGCACTGAAATGACTTCATATTTTTCAAAATGAAAATAACTTTGCTTTCTTCAATTATAGAAATATGTGGTCATTGCAGACTGTTAAAAGGCTACTACATTTTTGAAATAAAGTAAAAATCACCTGAAATTCCTCCACTCAGGGGCAATCACTGCTGTTACCTTGGTGAATTTTCTCCCAGACATATCTCTGTGCACCTAGTCACAAATAGATAAAAAATGTATACTTTCAGATAAATGGAATCTTGTTCCACAGATTGAATATCATTTTTATCTCCTACTCAACAGACTACTTTCATCATTATCAGTATAGGTGAAACCAGCATTAAATTATAATAGGTACATGGAATTTAATTATGTTTATGTACCATTACTTATTTAACTGTCCTCTATTGATGGACCTTTTTATCATCTCCATTTTTTTTTATATTACAAACATTTCTATGTAATTTATGACCTCTTGTTTTAGTTTGCATTTCTTGTAAGTGAGACTCTAATGTTGGTTTCATACGATTATGGCTTTTGTATTTCTTTTTTAGTGGAATTTTCTGTTCATGTACTTTGCCCATTTTTCTATTGGACTGTATGTTTTTAATTAATGGTGTTTTTTTTTTAATGTTAATTTATTTTGAAAGGGAGACAGAGAGTGCAATGAGCAGAGGAGGGGCAGAGAGAGAGAGAGAGAGAGAGTCCCAAGCAGGCTCTTTGCTATCAGCACAGAGCCCAGCGTGGGGCTTGATCTCAGGAACCATGAAATCATGACCTGAACCAAAACCAAGAGTTGGACACTTAACTGAATGAGCCATCCAAGGGCTCCTATTAATGGTTTTTAAGGGCTGTTTTTAATTTAAAGGGATTAGGCTTTCATGTGTATTTCACATATTTTTTTCTTAGTTTGCAGTTTGCCTTTAAACTTAATTATAGCATTTTTTTGAATCCCCAAAAAACAGTTTTAAGTAGTTAAATTGATATGTCTTTTGCTTTATAGCTTAGGTTTTACATCCTGCTTAGAAATGTTTTCTATACTCTCAGATTAAAGAAAAAAAGACTCCCATGTTTTCTCAAGTACTTTAACGATTTCTGTTTTACATTTGAATCTTTGATGCACTTAGAATTTATTTTAGTATAAGGAGAGAGGGTAGGAATCCAGCTTTATTCCTATTGCAAATGATGAGCCAGTTGCGCCAAAGTTGTTTTATTGAATAATCTCCCTTTCCCCCCATCAATCTGAATACCACCTTCATTATGATCTAAATTTACATAAGCTTGTCTATTGAGGTCTTGAGATTATTGATTCTTTTTTTTTTTTTTATTAAAATTTTTTTTTTTTCAACGTTTATTTATTTTTGGGACAGAGAGAGACAGAGCATGAACGGGGGAGGGGCAGAGAGAGAGGGAGACACAGAATTGGAAACAGGCTCCAGGCTCTGAGCCATCAGCCCAGAGCCCGACGCGGGGCTCGAACTCACGGACCGCGAGATCGTGACCTGGCTGAAGTCGGACGCTTAACCGACTGTGCCACCCAGGCGCCCCGAGATTATTGATTCTAAGATGGACTGTTGTTTTACATGGAGGAGGCTTTCTGCATCCTGGGTTCCCAGCTGGCATTGTTGCATGTCTTTGTGGCTTTTCTCCTTGGAAAAGGAGGTTCTTATCCTATATGTTAACAAGTCACCAACATCTTTTGCTGGGGAGTGTGTTCTGGAACTAAGGCAATGGTGCAGAACTGGCCCAGTTTCTTTTTGTGGAAACCATACGTAGTTACCTTTCCTTTTCTAGACTCCACATCGAGTTTTTACCACACACACCCACAAGAAGAGTTTTAAAAATCAAAGCCAAGTTTGTGTCTGAGTCCAAACTCTGCCTGCTGAGACCACCCCTCCCTTTTGACATAACGAATCTGTAATTGGTAACAGTCCACCCCTCTTTAATGAGACCACGGTTGTCCCACTGTCCTCTCTACTCCTTAGGAAACACTATTTTCAGAATGAAAATGGTTAGATTCTTGAGCACATAGAGTTCTGTGGGGAGCTAGAATCAAGACTTCTTGTGAATCTGTTGAAGGAATTTTATTTTTTATTTTTTTATTTTTTTAACGTTTATTTATTTTTGAGACAGAGAGAGACAGAGCATGAACGGGGGAGGGTCAGAGAGAGGGAGACACAGAATCTGAAACAGGCTCCAGGCTCTGAGCTGTCAGCACAGAGCCCGACGCGGGGCTTGAACTCACGGACGGCGAGATCATGACCTGAGCTGAAGTCGGCCGCTTAACCGACTGAGCCACCCAGGCGCCCCTGTTGAAGGAATTTTAAAAAAGACATTGCTGCTCTTAACTTCATTGTTCCCCTAACTTTAATCCTTGAATGATTTAAGGTTACATTGTCCAACCTGCTTCTCAAACTCTACTCTGTCACCATTGTTTGGACACTTAAATTAGTGAGGGGAACCCCACTGTAGGTTTGAGGAGTGGGGTATGCTGAGGGAAACTATCACTTTGAGGATTATCAGAGGTAATTATCTCATTAAATCATCACAATATTAGGGGTGCACTTTTGATATCCCTCCTTTACTGAGTTTACTCAGAGAGGTTAAGTAACTTGCCTAGTTACACAGCTAGTAAGTGCAGAGCTGGGGTTTGAACCAAGGTCTGTTCCACTCCAAAGTCTATGTTTGTTCTTTTATACTAGATTGCCTCCCAGAGGCAGGTTTTCAGCTTTTGGTGACAAAGTAAAAGTAAAGTAAAGTCTTATACCATCCCACTCATCTTATTAAGAGATACATTTCCAATACATTTACTACTTTTTATTTTCAAATTAAGACTTTATATTTTTAGAGCTATTTTAGGTTCACAACAAAATTGAGGGTAAGGTACAGCAATTTTCCATATACCTTCTGCCCCTACACATGCATAGTTTCCCCCATCATCAACATCCCAAATTGTTTTCTTTTAAATTCAGTTTTAGAGAGGTATTACAAATTATACACAATAAAATTCACTAGGGAGACAATTTGATGAATTTCGAGAAATGCATGTAGTCATTCACTAACATCCTAATCAAAATATGGAATATTTTAAGCACTCCACAAAGTTTCTTTGTGCTGCTCTCTAGTCAAGTCCCTTCTTGTACCCCCCCAGGCCTTGGCAACTAATGATGTGATTTCTGTCCCTCTAGCTTTGTCTTCTCTAGAATGTTATATAAATGACATCATGACATATGTAGCCTTTTGAGCTTTCCTTCTTTATCTTAGCATAAGGCTTTGAAGATTTATCCACATTGTCGCATGTATAAAGAGTTTGTTCCTTTTTATTGCTGAGTAATATTCTATCACATGGACGTCCTATAATTTGTTTATCCATTCACCATTTGATGGACATTTGGATGTCTACTTTTGGCTTTTACAAATAAAGCTATTTGAACATTCACTTACAGATCCTTGTTTGGACTTACATTTTAATTTCTCTTGGGTAAATACCTAGGAATAGGATTGCTGGTAAGTATATGTTTAAATTGATAAGAAATTGCTTATATTTAAATTTACAAGAAACTGTTTCTCAAGACATTCGAGACAACTGTTTTTCAAGCTGTACCATTATGCATTCCCATCTGCAAGGTACGAGAGTTCCAGTTACTCCACAGTACTTAACGCTACTTATTATCTGTTTTAAACCATTTTAGCCACTGTAGTA